ATCGGTAAAATGTCGTTACCTAATGACTGTACCAAACAACTGAAATAAATTACAGCACGGTAAAGAGATGCCTTTTTTTCCTTTTTATGTGGTTGCTGTGCACTATCTGATGAAACACAATTTTTGTTTGAAGTTTGAATGAATACAAGTTCGAAAGTGGACCTCATGTGCCAGATATTGTGTATAGATTTAGAGGAAATGTTTTTGACGAGAAAGATCTTTGAGTCAAATGAAGAGCGAATTATAAGAGACGCTACTTGGGAGGAATGATTTAAAAAGTGTGATCTATCCAAAATTCAATATTGTGACACATTTTTTAAATTAAACACATTATTTAATATAAGTTACTCATGTTTTATTACAGACAGAAAATTGAAAAAAATCTGAGATCTTTGGTAAAAAAATGCTACTACTCTGCAAAATGGAATTATTGTTGTAAATTATCATTTTTGATCATTATAAGTTATGACTTCGTTATTTTAGATTTATATTATTTTTAACCGACTTCAAGAAAAAGGAGGTAATTCTGAATTCAACTGTATTTGTTTTTGTATGTATTTGATGCGACAACTGCATTTGTGAACCGATTTTGATGATTCTTTTTTTGTTGGAAAGAGGTTACCTCAGTATTGGTCCCATTTTAATTTGAAGAAATTATTTTAACTCTAAAGCTGGCAAACTAGGGGATGAGAATATATTATACACATTATACTCTAGTCATATTTTATCTCTGTATTAATTCATAGCTAATTTCAGCCTTAATTAATTTGTGTGTAATTTTATATTTACTGTTTGTCATTCCAACGCAATTATGAATTATTTATGAATAATTAAACAATAAATAAAACAAAATTGAGGAATTTCCATGTGGATAAACAAGAATTCGTTTGGTGGAGTCCATTTTTGTCCTAAATTACCAACGAATCGACCGACATTATTGTTCACGCATTCATTTTTACGCCACTGTCCTCACTTTTAGTCGATTTCGTTCAAATCGATTATCTCAAAACGATTGGTCACGTTTTATGCCGACAGATAATTGATATTAACAAAATCACGTACTGTCTAACATACAGTGTACCAAATTTAGAAGTGTATTGTGTTTTATATGAGGATTTTATAAGAGCCATAGTAGCTCTAGTAGTTTTCCATATAAGTAAAATTACGACATTCGCTTATGCGGTCTTTCCTTTTAATTAGAATCGCAACAACTTTTCCTACACCTTAAGTTCGAATTTTAAAATGGGGCTTTTTTCTTTATTTTTAACAAGGCCTTTAACACTGCTATTTGGTGCTTAGGCCTCATAGGGAATCTCAAGTTGCTTGGTTAGTTAAAAGTATTTTTGGATTTAATGCAACAAGTTATGTAAGTATAAATATTTTTGGCTGCTTTATGTGAAGGGTCTCGCAGAATATTTGTGTCAACTCTCAACTCCAAATCGTCCTTTTGAGGTCCTAGTATGGTCACACTCAGTGGAGATGATAATGACTCAGATGGATCCGGTTTTCTATTCTTTTACAGTAATCACAGAGGGACGAGACTTTGATGTCTATCAAGTGACAAAATTTATTTAGTGGAATGTGATTTAATTCGAAATGAAACAAGAGATTCCCTAGATAGACCCGCACCGAGAAGTACTGCCACCTTACCTATTTCTGCCGCCAATCAGTAATGTGAACATTACTGCGTTCCGGTTTGGAAGTTGACGGGCGCAGTGGCAGTGCCCCTAAGGTCTTTGCGATTTAAAGCTCTGAGTGGCACTGCAACTGTTATGGACAGGAGTGTTACTTAATACCAGGCGCACGTTCGTCCTGTTACTTTTCTTTTTAATCTAAATTTAAGGAGCTTTGTGCTGTTACTTGATATTAATAAAAAAAAATCCAACCAAGGCTTTCGAGGAGGTCGAGGTTGCATCGTCCTATGCCAAATGCTTCTTGTTAGTGATTCCTCGTAGTAAAATGGAGCTTTCAGTACATGGTTTTTTCTCCCGACTCCCAACCTTTGAGCTTGTTAAACAAGTTTGTTATTTGTGCTTGGTATGTCAGAAAGCGAGAATGTAAACTAAGATCCTCTACGATTCAAATATCTGTTAGTTCAAGTAAAAGTGTTGTGTGTTTTAGTCAATGTGTGTATGAACTTAAAAGCGATTTGTTAATAATTTAATTAAACAATACAACACTTTTTCCGATAATTTACTCTATTGTGTAAGGGTCATTGTCTTGATTATATTGAATTGAGATAATCAATGGTTTTTTAAACAGCTATGATTCCTCTGGCACCGATTCTATTAATTTGAAGGTCGATGAAGTCAGTGTTTGATATGTTTTAACTTTTTATCGCATAAAATAACAAAAACATAGAACTAACTAACTTGTATAGAATATTTTTATCAAATCAACATCATAGCACGATGGAAAATTTTATTAAATTTTCATGTACATTGATATAATAGGTCGTAGGTCATTGGTTTTTGTGCAATGTGATTTAATCTGAAATAAAATCTTAAAAAAGTTCATAGAAAAATATATAGCCTTGTAGTTTTTTGAGTTTCACGCAATTGATTCCCCTGGCCACTATTATCATCATCTAGCTGGATATAGGCTTCTGCCGATGTGCGCTATTACGCCCAGTCCTCAGCTTATCGCATACATGTGCTGCCAGCAGACTTTCGTGTATCGTTACTCCTATTTGGCCAGAGGGCGTCCTACACTACGTTTGTAGTTTGTCAGTAACTTTTAATTCTCTTTGGATAAATTTTCAAGATGACTTTTCAAAATTTATGTTTTTCGTAAAATTTTTATTTTTTAAATTTATTAAAAATACTGATCGCGGGAATCTATTCCTCAGTAAACCTTAAGAAAACAACAAATACACGTCAAAAAAGGTAACAGCTAACAATAAGTACAGCAAGCCATCTATCAGCGATGTCATTGAACCGAAGACAATGCGTGGGAACCTTATAATTGCCCCTTCCACACCATAATCGCTTTTTGTTTTAGCACCTCCTTCGTACGGTACACGCTATGGTGAATGATTACGGGGAATTGTAATGTGGGCTATTGTTTTAGAAAGTTCAAGGAGTTTGAGAAACATACTCATGGACATAGAATATGCATTTAACGCAAAAAAAGGTTGCATTATACCTGTCTTCCGCTGGGGTAGGCATAGACCACGAACCTCATTCGCTAACGAGTACTTTTAACCTGGCCTTATGGCATACCTATGCTTAGAATTTCTTTGATCGGTTTTATTACGCAAAATATTTCTTTGCATTTTTCCTTCTCCGTTTCTAGTTTGCAACGTAATATATAATAACAAAAATCATAAGATTTTTCGTCTTGTAGGAAATTAGTCGTGATCTACGACTACAATTCTCACTATAGATTGAGGTAAATTTTACTGTACACAGACATAAGTTAGAAGTATTACAATAGAACAAAATTAATATTAGTGCTTTAGTCTTGCTATGCTGTATTTTAATGAGGATTTTGGAAGTAGATAAGGCCAGAATTCTCGTCCCTCCTTGTACATGCACACGCCTTAACAACCAGTCTCAAGGAACTAAAGTTATTTAGGTCGTTAGGTGACGATTCCGACCGTAAATTATCAGCAGAATTCTCACTTTGCTGCCCCATCTTGAAGATTGATTATGTACTCTTATTATTTTTAACCAACTTCAAAAAAACAGGAGGAGGTAATACGTTATATCTTCGTCAATTGTGGACCGATTTTGAATATTCTTTTTTTGTTAGAAAGGTTGCACCTTTGAAGTGGTCCCATTGTCACCAAGCCAGACAGTCAGTCTGATGAAGGGATCCCATAAAATCGAAGGAAATCCTCAAATTAGACAGGCATGTCCGTGTATTCACCAATGTCTTCATCAATTTTGAAAATTCTTCTTTCGTTTGCTCTCGAGGTGGTCCTTGTTTGAAAGGGTATACTCTCGAGGTGGTTCCTGATGCTGTTCTGGGTTCGTTTCGGCTATCACAAATTACTAATTATTTTCCGCAAATAAAAGTGGACTTTTCACTTGTAATTTGTAATCAACAAATCACCGTCACACCATGACAACCAGAAAAGAAAATATAAAATGTACAAAGAAGTCCGTAACAGTCCCATTGTCGACAAGAAGTCAAAATCTGATGATGGAAATCATTGACTTACAATTATATGGACGTCGGGTCCGCGCTAAAAAGTGTCCGCACTTGTAAGGCGCTAAAATCGTATACAGAGCGCGACACTCCGCTTTAGTCTTCATTTGTTCTACGGACAGCGAGATACTGCGATGACATAACAATTTAAATTTCGAATAGGTTGACTTGGGACATTTTTTTCGTGGTTTTTGTATTAGACCCGTCGTCCATTTATTTGTAAGTCAATGATGGAAATCGAAAAAAACCGATAAGCATACTTTTGAGGCCGGTTTTCTTTTTCAATGAAATAGTCATATGTAATATTGTATATCTGGCCTCTAATTGTAAGTCAATGATATCTGGCCTTTTTTTTCAAAAGCACGTGAATTAAAAGTGAGAAGGCTTTCAGATATTCAGATAAGTGTATCAGAACCGAACGCGCATCTACGCTAAAACGTGTCAAATTCTTGTAAAGAAAGTTATGAATCGATCGAGTGTAGTCACTATTGAAAAACCAAAACAATGACATCGATTTAGAAAGTTCATTAGTATATGAAATTCAGGTCTATTAAATAGTAAATTAAGGAATTTATTTTAATGGGTCGGTCTGTATGTTTATCCCCAAAAAAAAAATATATATTTGAAAATAGAGATAACATACATTATAGAGAGTTATATTTATAAAATAAAGCTTTTTTTTTAACTAGTACAGTAATGGTTCATTGTTGGATGTTTCATTGTATGTTCTTTGACTCATAGGCTGTTAACAAATTGGGTGCATATTTGCAGTTAATGCGTGAACTCGTATTAACGGCATGCAATCGAAATCGACTTCACGCAGCCGAGATCGACTGCATGAAGTCGATTTCGATTTCACACACTTGCAGTCAATCTACAGCTTTAGGTACTCGGCTAAAGAGTATCAGAAGTATGACGACGTGAAGTATGTACATGTTCTCGTTCTTTGTTGGGTTCGAGTCTTCTTTGGACTTAGGTCATAGCCTATTTCCCGATACTTCACACCTTTTTTACACTTTTTTCCATGGGTTGTGTATCGTCTTCGAGGTTTTATCACGGTGTTTTCCTGCGAGCGGTATGCTGAAGGCGCTGGCTATAATTCATCTGGATCGAATATTTCTTAGTATTCGATCTTTGTATTAATAATTATAACAAACTAGTGGAGTAATTTCACAAAAATAATTCAATATAATGGCAGTAAAATATCGTTGATATTTAATAAATGTAACTTAGAAACATTACAGATTCCTACAAAACGTGTTTTTTTAGTCTTAAGTCATCATAACGTTTATGTTAATTTTCGTTAATGTGTTAAGTTTTTACTTATAAGCAGAGAGCTTATTATTTCTCGAAAGGTATTCTCAATTTATTTGTTTACATATAGAATCACCTATTTATTTTTAATATGTCGGTTAAACTTCAAATACTTACGTATGTTAAGTATTCGTTGTCTTTGAATAAACCCCAACGTTAATGTGAAGCATACCTATACAGTTAAATGTGTAGTTCCTGTTATAAAGCTATTTTTATTAAAGTTATGAATGTCCTTGATGAATAACACAAAATGTTATATAGAAAGCTCATGTAAACACACCTTTACCGTTATATTGAAGTGTCATACTTAAACTTACCTTAATTCTAAATTAAACAATAACTGTTCATAAAACTATAAATACGACACTTTTTTGCACTTTTAATCACATTTTTCACTGAACATACAATTTTTAAACCGCCTTGTAATTCACACAAAACATCTCACTGATCTCAACGCTGCCAAGTTTGAGGCGTTCTGTCAAATAGTTGCACCACGGGTCTACACTGCTGAGATCTTGTATTATTTCTTATTCACTCACACACTGAACACTCAATAATGAAGTACGACAGAGATGGTGAACGTTCCTAAAAGCCCGTCTTAAAGCAATGAAAGATAAAGCCTTTTTGCACAGGTAAAAGTAACGGCGTTTTTCTTGAGATGCGTGAGATGAGACGCCAGATGTGAGGTCAGTGAAGTAGGAAAGAGAAAGCAGCAGGTCATGTTAGGGCGTACGAAACATATTAAGGTCACTAGAGTAAAATGCAATGTAGTAATTTCCTGAATAGTGCACGTTTGTTTTTTGTTATAAAAATGCGTGAAAACAATTTAATTTTATGTTCGTTGTTTTTGTTTTTAGCCAAAATACATGAACTTGTTTACATATTGCGTGAAATTAATTAGGCTACTTGTATTTCAAGGATAATTATTGTAATAAATCAGCTAATCCACTAACACTCATTGTATTCGAAAGTTCGCGATTCAAGAACTTAAATATTTTTTAAATTAATAACTTCACAGAACTCAACGCCAACGACATCTATGAATAGTGTGTGAAACTATTTGCTAACTCCTTTAGTTTCCCTGTCAGTTGTCATGTTGCGCTTACGCAAACACAAACGTTGATTAAATACCATCTAATGTTGATAGATGGCGTACGTTGTCAATAATAATATAAATAAACAATTTGATAATTTTTGTCAAATCTGTCTATAACAACATTTGATCTGTTGGAAGAAATACACAAAAAAGTAACTATAATTTATTTACGAACTAATTGTGCCATGGAAGCAAACTGCACCCCACTTGTAATAAAAACCACAGTATTACAATATGTTACATACAAAAACGACACGAACTCAAGTATAAGATAAAGTCGGTGGGACACTGTACTTGAAGTGCCAAAAAGTATCAAACATCTCATGTGATATCACTTTGCATTTTTACAAGTATTTAGTAACAAATCATTGGGATAGACATAACAAGTAGTAAAACAGAAAAATATTTAAAAAGAATATTGCACATAAATTGTCGATCTTTATCACTTCATAAGTGTTTTAGTTTTCTTCGACACTGTCTAATTCATCATCACTTTCGTCACTGACTTTTTTAGTGTTATTCCTTTTGATTTCAACATACTGTGGCACGTATGTCGGCGTACGAAAGCCTGTAACTGATATTTCTAGCCTCCTTTTTCTATTACTCTGTGTATTCTCGTTTAGCCAACTGTTTACATTTTTTGAATTTTGATTAACGCTCCTATAATGACCGTTTATTTGTGGGACGTAAGTTCTGAATGTTGTTGTCTCTTTTATTTGCCCAGATTTTACTGTTGTTAATTCGTCGATTGTAGTTTCGATATCTTTTTTGAGTTTCATAATCAAAGTTTCGGTTTCTTCATTTTCAAAATCTTGTTCGTTCGTCTCTTTATCACAATTTTCCTTTTTTATTTCAATGTCGTGAGAGTTCCTTCGGATCATCGATGGACTTGTGCTTGCCCATTCCGCTAATCTCAAGTACTGTTCTGGAACTTTAGCATCCTCTTGACTGAATTTAATTACTTCAGGCTGATTAGTAGTAATGGAGCTCTCTGTACTAGAAGATGGTGTTTCAAAGAATGGTATCATCGTCGTAACCGTTGGTAATGTTGAAATAGGAGGAGGAGGCGCAGGTGTCACCCTTGCTTCAACAGGAATAATTCCAGAACTACCCACATGAAAATCTTCTACTTGCGTAGAAGTTAATATGGGAATTTCTGTACCAAATCTGTGCGGTTGTAATGGTGTTGAATATATGTCATTTTCTGTTGTACTTTCTGCTGGAATTTTCGTTTCTGCAGGAGGATAAACATTAACGTGAACTATCATCTTCGGTTCTATAGGTTTTTCTTCGGAACTAATATGCGTACTGTACAACCCTTTGCTTAATAAGATTCTTGGTCTCTTTATTCTGGTAGTAGTTCGTCTGATAGGGGTCGTTGAACGTCTTCTAAACTGTACTAATGGTCTGGACGTAGTAATGTAGATTTTATCTAAGGCTGGTGGTGAAGTTTCTGTTACTTCTAACTTCTTAAAGTCTGCATTTGTTGACTGTAATGGAAACAAATTTAATAGTACACTGAATGACTTGGGTTTTGTTGAGGGTGTTGCTTCAGGATGTCTGATTTCTCCAGAACCTAATAAATTTACGACTTTATTTTCCTCGCTCTTAATGTTTTTGGAAACGTAGTTCCTCTTACGGAGAGTTATTGGTCTAAACATTGGAATGTTTACAGATTCTCTAGCTTTCAGAATATTATGGGCTGCTATAGGTGAAAATCTAAAAAATCCGTCAGCCAAAAGATTTACATCTCCGGGGGTTTCTGGTTTGAAAATGTACAAGGGATCTGGTTGATGATTTATTCTACTTTCCACTTTTTTCGAGTCTTCTACATCAAGATCAATAGGTGGAGTTGTTTTTAAGTTTTTATTTTCTTCTTTAGATGCAGGTTCAACATATACTCCAGAAAACTCAATGTGTGTAGATTTTGGAAGGGAATATAAATCACCAAACTTAGCATTTATAGTTTTCTCTAAATACTTGATTACTTGCTGTAGATTCCTCAGTCTTTGAGCGTTTCTGTAGCCTTCAATCCAACTCCTTGAACCGTAAGTTTTACTAAAAGGTGTGGGAGTAGGACTTCGGTATTCAAAGTAAAATGGTCGAGGACTGGTTCTTCTTATAGCAGGTACTCTGTAGTCTACAGTTGTTGACATAAGCTTTGAGTGATCATGTCTCGTAGGTCTTGTGTAATTAGGTAGAAGGTATCTTGCCCTATTCTTGTCAAGAGAAGTGTCCACAGACGGATCGATGTAACTGTTTTCTTGCATAGCGTTAACAAGAAGTGGCATTCGCTCGAAGTATTCTTGGTCGAATCCGTACAAATTTCTATCGAGTCGATCGGCAATTGGAATATCATTAGTATGGTTTGACCTTATCTTTTGTACTACATTCGATTCAACTGCAATTCCGTATTCGTAGATGAGCAGAATTACCTGAAACAATCATAAAAATATGCCATTACGTCGAATTAACTTTCAATTAACAATGTACATTTAAAAATATCTATTACTTAAATACGTGATTTCAATAAATAGAAAAAAAGTAGCGTTTTGTTTTTATTATTTTGTCAAATATAATTAATATGTAAATAATACTTATTATGCTAACATTGTTTTATTAACTTATAAAATTTACTTATGATTTTTTTTTGCTAAAAGAGAAAAATTATGGTGTTTCAAATAAAAATTAAATAAAGGTAAAAAAGTATGCCACAATCAATATGTAAAAGTACATTTAAAATATATCCGTGTATGTTTCTTTACTCAAATCGTATTCCTTGACGTCTTTTTTCCAGTCTCTGCGCGCTATTTCTAAATAAATCGGTCTATTGTGTGGTAACATCGATTTTAAAAAACTTGGAGAATTATCAACAACGTTGAAGTGCTCATTGGGTAATTTATTTATTTTCCTACTTAATTTCTCTGGTAAAGAAGGATTTCCTAAATACTTATTTAATGGTATTTCTTGCACTGGCATCAAGTTTTCGCTATCAGGCATTTCTATCTCTATTTTATCATCTTGTTTATCGGGGCAGTTTGTTGCCAAGTCTAAAGACCAACTAGGTGCTTTCACTATCTGCGTTTGATTGTTAATTCGATTCACTAACACTGAGCAATTATTATTGTTTGTTTGTATAGAGCTCTTTTCATTACTAGCTGAAGATTTTTTTTTAATATACCACGGTGTTTCAAAGTTACTATTTTGTGGTTGACTTGATGAACTATCAACACTTGCCATCCAATTTGATATCATAACGTTCACTGGATGACCAACATTTTCCAGAAAATTCATGTAATTATTTAATTCTTTTTGAGTTTCACCTTTTGGATTTGATAATGGATAACTTTTTCTGTCATTGTTTGATGCTTGTTTAGCCAAGTTTTTATATGTTCTTAAACTGTATCCTTTTAACGTTCCCTCTTTCCTCGCTAGCCCCTCATACGGTGAAAGCTCTTGGAAGATATTATTATTTGTTTCGTCGTTACCTGTAATATTAGTTTCGTCGGATGCTGATTCATGTATTACTGTTTTTTTTACTTTTATATTATCAGAATTACTAGTAGCAGTTGACGTATTTATTTCGAAATTGTTATCTTTCTTTGGTGATTTACTGGTGTTGATCCTAGATTCATAGTGTTTAGTTGTTTCCTGGAAACTTATTGTAGTATATTTAGATTTAATTAAGTTATGTTCATAAGATGGTAGGGTAAGATACCTATCCTTTTGACTCAGTTGGTCACTTAACGATGTTGCATGTTTGTGATCGATTCGTCGACTAGCATTAATACTGTTCGGTGAATTCCATAACATTTCATTTGCACGTGTATTTTTTGTTTCTACTTGGAAATTTTCCTCTATAGACGGTAAAGATTGTTCTGGTGTATTTATATTAAACTCTTCTTCGCTTTCTTCATTAAAATATGTCTGTTGTATTCTAGAGTTTTCTGTAACTTGATTCAGATACGAATTAGTTTCTTTTGAAGCAAGGTTCTCCTTTTTTGGTCTACGTCGAAGAATATTACTTTTTATTAATTCCAGTATATAAGGATTGAAATCAGATAAGTCTTGGGGAAGATATGATGAACTAAAGATTGTGGCTTCCTCTTGTGGAGTTTTCAAATAATATTCGTCATCGTCTGCTAGTATATCTGCGTCTGTTGTGGTTTCGATTGCCTTTACAAATTTTGTTTTTTTTTTCTTTTTAGTTGAAATATTTGTTATTTTTGCAGATGTTGTTGCAGAAGTTGTTATTGTTGCAGAAGTTGTTATTGTTGCTGAAGTTGTTATTGTTGCAGGTGTTGTTGTTTTTGCAGACGTTGTTGTCGCTGTAACATGAACCGGTAATGTTATTAGTGGAGTTGTAAATAATTTTGGGTTAGCCAAAATTTCTCTAGCATCAATTTGCTTTCTTTTGCTTTTAGTAGATGATTTCTGAATGTTCTCCTGTTTTTCCAAGTTGAACATATTTTTTACTATTGGCTTGATGTTTAGTTTGTGCATTGGCACTCCAAGATATATATTGTTGTTTGGTTCTACTTCTAAATGTTTTTTAGGTTTGTTAGCATTTATAAAAGATCTAGAGTATTTTGCGGTTGTTGTTGAGAAAGGTTCAACTGTAGATACTTTAACTAATTGAATAGGTGTAATATCATCGTCTTCTGTATGTATTATTGATGGAACTTCTATAATATTACTGGTATGCCTAGTTGCTGGTGTACTTGTAGTTAATGGTATACTGGTTACGTTGACATCGGTATCATTACAGGGTACTTTTACCATGACAGTAAGTTCAGGTAACACCTCTTGTATACTGTGCACAATTTTATTAAGTAATACTGTTAGCTTTTTTGGACAAGAACATTTTTTGTCTTTCATTATGTCCATTTTATGTAGCTGTGTTTCTGTTGAAGTTTTCCTTTTATTGGACAAAGGCTGTGTTACTTTTCTTACCATGATAAGACGTCGTGGTTGAGAAGAATAATGGCGAGTAGAATAAGTGATTTCCTTTTTGTCGTATTCCTTAGATTCTATTGACGTTTTGGGCTTGTCAGTCAATTTTTCAACCATTACTTCGCTTGACGTCATGGATATTTTGTTATTGAGCATATTATCAAACAAGTTTAAAACCTTCTGATAGTTTCTAATCTTTCTGATTTTGCTGTAATAATCTAAGTTAGTAGGATTCTTGTAATGTGGTTTGTAGTCAATAGTATTGGGTGTTCGAAACCGATTTGTAAATGTTGTTTTTGGATTTTGCAAGTAACTGTCGTCATTTGGTGCAGTCTTGTAGGAAACTGGCTTAGGATTGGAATCGTCAATTTCGTTATCAAAAATTAAATTGCTGTTCAAAGCTTTGAGTATTATGGGCAGTAGTTTGAGTGTTGAAGCATCAAGATTGTAGTTTCCTTTGTTAATTTTGGTTTCAAATATTGAGCTGTCGTTGAGGATGTCGTGCCAGGAAGGCTTTTTCGACATGTGATTGCGACTTGATTCGATGTTGATTGTGTACTCGTAGACAAGGAGAATAGTCTGAAAAAGTAAAATAATCGAGATTTATTTAAAGTCGTCACAAAACGACCATTCCTTTAAAATGGTACTAAATGTACAAATTTCAGTCTGAATTTTCAAAACAAAAAAAAAAATACGTTTCATAAGCCAAAAAATACTCACAAAATTACTTCTTATCACAATATTAATCATAGACTAAACGGTGCGTTATTACACTTAGTGATAATTAAGTGCATGAAATTAGGTAAAACAATATAACATTAATGCGTGATACAGTGAAGAATCAATTGAGACTCTAGATGCAAATGACTACAAATATCAAGATGAAAAATATTTGCAATACCATCAGTTTGTATTTACGAACAAGCTACGAGGAAATAGAGTAAATTATAATTTAGAATCACTTACATGAGACTACGCCTTACAAACAGGGTGTTGTTAATTGACAAAGAAAACATTTACTAAAACACTAAGATTCCAACAGAATCAATGGTGATAATTTTCAGCACATTCATCTTACATACTTAAGAAGGGAGTTACAAGATTTATGATACCATCTTATCTATATATATCGTCCTGTTACTACAGGACGAACAAGACGTGCGCCTGGTGTTTAGCGACACGCCTGTCCATAGCAGTTGTAATGCCATTCAGTGCTATAAATCGCAAAGATCTTAGGAGTACTGCCGCAGCACCTATCAGCCTGAGACATAAGTTGACAAGTCCCATGTGTCCTTCACCAGCACCCTTCAAAACCGAAACATAGTAATGCTTACATTACCGCTTGACGGCAGAAATAGGTACTTCCCTGGACAAAGTCTTTCACATTAAAATTATACTAACTACTTAGCAGCAGTGCTGCTTATATTTATTTATGATCATTAATAATTATAGTGTATATATTATAATCAACTAATTATATACCATAGTCCCCTACGCTAGATCCATACTATGTTGGAAAGTTCCATCATTTTGTTTATCTTCACCGATGGCGAGAGGTATTTCTACTAAAGATTTATAAATAAAGCACACACTCAACATAGCCCCGCACTAGGGAAACCCTGTGTCGCGGGTGCCATGGACACACACATAGACAGCCACAAATTACACCCAAACTCACGAGAGAAATAAATGTAGGCCATAGTAAAATTTGTCCCGTCCCGAAATCGAAACTGGGACCTCTGCGTGACAGTCCGGCATGGTAACCGTTCAGCCATGGAGGCATATGTATGTAACTAGGAAATTAAAGTCACAGATATTCGAACCACCGACCTTTGGATTGAAAAGCAATAATTTCCCTTTCCTAATTACCACCAGTCTATGAGCTTATTCAATAAAGATAGTAATATTATTATTTATTTAAAAAAACTTTTACTGTTACTTTTATAATTAGGTATCAAAAAATTTGTTTTTTTTTGACATTCTTTACTTTTGTACCATCGTCACAGTGATAAAAATAATGAATTAATTAGGTCAGCGCTCTCGTAAAATGTTTGTGTCTTTGTTTCCGCTTTCTTTTCACGCCGTATGTCACCTGCGCGTACGCACGAGCCGTGACGGAGAGGGTACGTGGTAATGAGCCTTAGTTTTAGGGAAATGTAAGCAAATATACTGGGTGCATATTTAATAGGATCATTCTATATACATTGTTCGCAAACAGTGTTGTCTACAGATGCTATCTGAAACATGCTGTATATAATTTACTCATACGTAGAACTAGTTAGCTCTAAATAATTTTATATGTACAATTATTTTTTTTGCGCTAAGAGATCAGTTTCGAATTTTTAATTACGAGTGGTTATGTGCCCCGGCATTGGCACAGTCGGCCGGAGTCAGGGATTCCGGTTCAAGAACCGGCCAACGACACGTGCCGAATCGAGCAGCGCGGCTTTCTTTATTTTTATTTTTGATTATGACATCCAGT